TTCCTCGCTTTTCATCATCTGCTAGCAGCCTAAAGTATCTTTTGTTTTAATTCCTTTGCCTTCTGAGTGGAACATGGGACTATAAGCTTTCAGCTTTGAAGATTCAGCAGGAATGGTGTTGTTTTAATGGGTCCGGCTGCTAGCCCCACACTCAACGCACTTATCGAGGTTTGGGAGTGCGTCGGCTGGGAATCGAACCCGGAACACATGAGGTGTGGCTCGCGAGTGTTCTACCTCTGAACTATCGACACACAACAGCTTGAAAGGGATATAAGTTATTATAAATGCAAAAATTTATAACATACTTCAAAAATTATTACAACTAAAAGGACATAGTAGTGAATGGAGTAAGAGATATTAATGGAAGATAGTTGTGTGTGGGTAGTTGAGTAGTAGAATACTCACCAACCACAAATGTGGATTGAGGTTCGATACTCAGCCTCCGGTGGACTCTTAAACGTCGATTTGCCGGTAGTAAGACCTGTAAAGAGGGAAGGTCGGGTATGAGGCTAGCAGCTTACCGGGTTAAAACAACACCAATGGCGATAAAACTACAAAGCTCAAGTTTAAAGCCCTATGTTCCACGCGGAACGTAAAGGAATAATAAATAAAAATAAATAAATAAAATGGAAGATAGTTATCTAACAACCAGAGTTCATTTTCACATGGAAGCGTGAAAGATACGATTATTACTATTATTATTATTATTGTTTCCTTTAATTCCTAGAGGAACATAGGGCTTCAGCCGTGCGTCTCCATTGCCTTCGGTTCTCTGCTAGAGTCTTCACCTGGCTCCAAGTCTGCCCCCACCCTTTCATCTCCTCTTCACATGACCTCCTCCAAGTCACCCTCGCACTGACGACCAACTCGCCGCCTCCCTTTCGGGTTCCATTCGAGCGATGGCTCGTCTAGTGATGTCACTTGATGATTTCCTATCCAATCCACCATCATTTCTTCCTGCCTATTTGTTTCATGATAATTAGGGGTAAAATTACTACATGAGCAAACAACTAAATAAATAAAAATCAATAAATAAAGATAATTAATGAGTGAGTTGTAATCACAAAACTGTTCTGTGACGTAACCGAAATACAGAGATAGAGTAGAGACGTTTAGTCACCAGTATAGTAAAAGATTAATCACATTATCTTCATCACATTATGTATAAATGAACTCTAGTTGTTGTTAGATTATTAACTGTATTTTATACATATACCTTGTTGCACAACTATGTCCTTTGAGTTGAAATAATCTTCAAGCATTTTTGTTTCAGTTTTCTTTTTCAGGTTGATTGACTGACACTCGTTGCACAAGAGGTGGTTATAGGGGCCCAAATCGTCTATCGGGTAACACTTTGGCGTCTGAAACAATGGGTACTGGGTTCGAGCCTCAATGGGGAAAACCATCTACTCACTGGAGAATGCAGATAAATCCAGATGACGAATCCCAGCTAGGATGAATTGCGCGTCTTGGATTCCATTACTAGTCACCACCCACCAAACCTTGAAGTATGTTAAATATTTTCGTATTTGTAATAGTCTGTGACATATTCTGACGGTTAGCAGGAGATGAAGATTCGTGAAGTGCAAAATATGTTTATTCTCTCTCTGTTCAAATGAATCGAGGGAAATGGTTGTATGAAAGTATAAATCTATCGTAGAATAATTTTATTTGATAAAATACAAACAAAATTACGGTATTATTCATTTGCTGAAGATGTTTCAAGTACATAAATACTTTATCACTGTTTGTGTTTTATGAAATAAAACTATTCCATGATTGATGGAGCCCTTTAGGAGTTTTTAGTGACTCATCATCATAATCCGTTCCTAATCTTTATATAGCCAAATTATATATACCTTATCTTCAACGCACCATTTGCAGAGATTTTCGTATTGTGTAACTTTTGGACTTTAGGTGGTGTTTCTTTGTGGTCCTTTCACATCTCCCACGTATCTCCACAATGCTGTATCATTTGGCTTCTGTGGCATCAAATGTATCTCCCTGCTATTTGATGTTTTTATGCTGATGAATGTCTCCCCATATACTACTGATAACTGTTATCAGTAGCAGTCGCCACTGAATTCTTTCGGCAACACTATGCGACATTAATCTTACATAATTCAGTAAAGTATTGACTGGATTTGAAACAGGAACCTCAGTCGTATGACTTTTGCTGATGGCTAGTCAGGCAACTTGCCTCTTTATTTACATTACCCTTGTTTCTTCCTTGAGTCATAGATGCTATTAGATAGTATCTCATCTTGCTGAAGATCAAAACTGCAACTCAAACCATCAATCTACTGAATATTGTTGTTTCGCCTAAACATAACTGTATAAATAAGCTCAGTGTGTGAAACAAAACTGTGGCTTAGTTAAACTGATGGAACATAAAGTCTGTCAGTTGATCTGAGACAGCTGAATTGATTGACTTCCCTCAAAAAATATTCTACTCTCATTTATTTGAAAATAGAAAAGAACATTATTAATCTGTTCCTGATGCGTCGATGGCACAAAGGTGGAATGCTCGCCAACCACACATGTGGGTCAGGGTTCGATCCCCGGCCACCAACGCACTCCTTTATCTCACTAAGCTAGAAATAAAACTGATAAAGAAGGAAGGTTGGGCATTAAGCTAGCAACCCTATCCCGTAAAAATAAATACCAGTGCTACCGAAACTTCAGAGTCCTAGATTGAAGCCCTATGTTCCACTGGGAACGTAAAGGAATAAAATATAAAATTTAAAAATCTATTCCTGATTTTAAAAAAAGGATCATGAAACTGGAGCCTTCAATTGTCGTTATTGTTGTGGAAAATGCTGTAAATAATTTAACGAAATTATAATTTTTTTGATAAGAGAATATTTCTATGGTATCATTTTTTTTATTCCTTTACGTTTCCAGTGGAACATAGGGCCTCAAGCTAGAGGCTTGAAGTTTCAGTAACAGTGGTATTTATTTTTGCCGGATAGGGTTACTAGCCTTAGCTCAACCTTCCCTCTTTATCAGTCTTATTACTGGCTTAGTGAGGTAAAGGAGTGCGTTGGTGACCGGGGATCGAACCCTGGGCAACACGCGTGTTTGTCATAAACGCATAATATCGTTAGAACACACAAATATTTTAAAAAACAAGCAACACGAGTTATAACCATTACGTTTCGTTTTGTTATTGTTAGACATTCATTGAATGTTCATCAATCAAAGTTACATTCTGTTAGCGCAAGGAGGTTTAGTAAGTAAAAAATAATCAGTTATTGAGAAAAGACAGAAAATCAATCAGTTAGAGTACCAGTGAAAACCAGCACTGGAGTACTGGACAGCTGCTTCATCTTTATTTGGGAATCCTCATCAGTACGCACCCACCACCAGGCTTTGAACCCAGGACCTTCCGGTTACAAGGTAAGCTCGTATACCATTCAGACACTGGGACCCGATTCAGTGGCACATGTATTCTCACTTCTACCAATTCGTGATTTAGCTCAACCCCAATCAATGTCATCGGTTGGACATCCATCCTCACACGTGACTAGATGGACCTCACGGCTCCCAGTGGCTGAATGGTATACGAGCTAGCTTGACTTGTAACCAGAAGGTCCTGAATTCAAACCTCAGTGAGTGCGTACTGCCGATGATTCCCATTCTAGGATGAAACAGCTGCCCAGTACTCTTTGGTGGTTTTCAATGGTTCTCTAGCTGATATCAATCCGTGGTCAAACTCGTAAAAATAGAACTAATCCTTACAAACCAACTATGGAAAATCAATCACTTTTCCATCCATTCCATCCTGTTTGCTAATTTATATGAACCAATCTGTATCAAGTTCATATTTGGCAGAAACTATAATGGTGATTAGTTGTGTTTTGTGGTTCATTGGTAGAATACTCTCCAGCCACATAGGTCGTCCAGGGTTCGACCCCTGTTCTTATTAAGCTCGGTAAACAGGGAAAGTTGGGTATACAGCTAGCGACGCTACCCTGTAAAAAACATCACCCTTACAGAAATTTCAGGACTCAAGCTTGAAGCCCTGTGTGTTGCGCTTGTAACGCCACTGAATGAAAAAGATGAGAAATAATGGTGGCTGGAGGTATGAAAGTAGGAATTATGCCTCTACAATCAAAGGATAATGACAGGAATAGTTTCATGACAAATGACGACAGTCAACTTCCAACACAGTTATCCTCATTTTGATATAGTCAGTTGGTTACTGATAAAAATGGGACATTCTTGCTTTTACTTTTCAATAAAAGACTAACAATAAAAATTAAATTCATGTATATTTTCATGAATTAGTCCTAATGTACACAGGATACAGATTACTGACTAAATTCTGTCAGTAGTATAGTTAATAACTACATGTTGAAATGAACGTTACATAAGAAGCAAACTTCAAAGATGAAGAAGGAACAAGTTTTATGGAGGGAATACCGCTGACAAGAATCTGTAAGTAGTTTACTGCGCGTGTGTGATGTCTTCTGCAAGAATATTGAATAACGGAAGGATGAATTAAATGCGGAAGAGGAGAAATGAAAGATCCTTGTGTGAAACAACATAGAAATCAGGAAAGGAAGACACAAAAAGAGGCACCATATACGGAGAATATTTGAAAATGAAGATTTCAGCATGTAAGGTGTATGTACTTCGTCTTATCTGTACATCAAGTTGTCAATAAGCAATTCCATTATCAAATACCACCATGTTCTACGGCTACAGTTTTACAAAAGGAATATACTAACAACAAAAATTGACCACTTAGAAGTGTTGTTAATTGACAGATGTATATATGTATAAAGGGCAAACTGGAAAGAAAATATATATATAATTACAAGTGAAATACAATTGAAATGGATCCAGAGTTTGGGTCGATTCATTTAAATTATCACAGACTATAGTGGTAAGTTGAATGTATGTATATGTATGTATTTACAATCAAACATCAATATATTGATTAGTTTCGATCAATCAGTAATAAGCTGACAGTGCATCATATCATCATTTGTTGGTTAGCTGAATAAATTTGACGAATTGTCTTTTATGATTATGTATTGACTTTCATTCACCTGTTGATTATGCAGGGGATATGGATGACTTTGATGTTGCTGACGTCGACTATGACGACTGGAGACTCCATTTTTATTCAAATGTCTACAAGTTATGTAAATAAATAAACCGCCTAATAATCCAACTAGTGTTATACACAGTAAGGCAGATATAATAACAATGTAGGTTGAAATATCTGAAATTAAATATGTATATATAAAAGAGAAAAAAACAATGAGATTATTTAGTAACTAGGGCAAAATAACACTTAAATAATAATCACACAAAATACCCACTGAGTTATGAAGAAAATAAAAGAGACAATTCAGGGAAGAAAATCTTCACTATCGACGAAATCATCTTCAAAGGCTTCACAGTCGTATTTACATTTACCAAAAATGTATAGTAGTTCATTGTTGAGTAATAGAGGGTGACATAATTAATATAACTGTGGTGAGAGCTGTCTACTAGCCAAATTGGTAGACAGTAATTTACGTCAATATTTACGTTCCCAAGATTTGTCGTGAGAAAAGGTGAACAAAGATTGATACAAAACCGACCACAGCAGACTTTGCGTAGGCGGATGCAGTTAACATATAGAGGATTTGACATTCAAGAAACAGTCACAAATAGATGAAAGATTAACTTTACGTGAGAAACAACCAATCGGAAGAGTGCGTTTGTTTGCTTAAATATCCATAGTAATGTACATGCAAATATATAAATATGCGTTGATTTCCTTAATAAATGATCTGTTGCCTGACTCTTGCCTTCTGTCGTTACATAACTATTCAGAAGTGGCTTCAAAAGTAAAAATGAAAGTTGTAAATTACGTAATACTCAACGGCACAAAGGAAAGACAGGGTTAGAAATTTGATGAGGTTAACCTTGTTACTGAGTTGGGAGATAGGTAGTTGAGTGTCCACTTAACAAGTGTGAAGATGGTGAGAAAATGTACAAAAGAAATATATGGAAGTGATAAAAGTGAATTAATTATTAAAGTAAAAGCAAACTAATCATTAAAAATATGAATAAAATTTACAAGGAACGACTAGTGAAGAGGTTAAGACCATGGTAGAATAAGAGACTGGACAAACTTTTTCTGTGTACAGAGTTAGGGGTTGTATTAACGAACTGCCAACGCCTCAAACATACACAAATGCTGAGACCTAACACCCTTTAATTCACTAGATCTCACTTGGCAGGCAATCTTGAAAGACGACTCCGGGAGAGCTGCGTGGCTTGAGTTCACCAAGTGCTCGAGAATTGAACTAGTAGCTGTCTTGCACTGTCCTTTTGCTAACCATGCCGGATAATATATAGAGATGCGTTAGTTAAGTGTGAACTTTGTGCGACCAGTGTAACTAGCGCCACAGGAACAAGCAGATTTATAAACACACTTTGAAGTGGCCTAAAGCGGTAGTTTATCCTTCGCACATCCATTGATCATTTGTCGACTGTAAAAACTGATCCGCAGCTCAGCTGATCTGGATAAGCGGTTCTGCAGAATTTCAGCTGCGGTATCATTTTTGAGTTCAGCGTTCACATATAGTAGTTCCTTCAGCACCGTCTGGGTTCTTCTGGGCTTTCGCTCTAACTTCATGTTTTTCTCGATGGATCTTGAAGAATATCAATTTTCCATTGAGGACTTCTTTGAATCGCTTCAGTTCACCTGTCGATTGTGCCACTGTTACACTTCACATTTATAAAAGGATACTCAACTACCTTTCTCCCAACTCAGTGACAAGTTTAACCTTATCGAATTTCTGACCCTGTCTTTCTTCGTGCCGTAGAGTATTACGTGATTTACAACTTTCATTTTTACTTTTGAAGCCATTTCTGGGTAATTATGTTGATTATGTCACCCCTCCCTATTACTCAATAATAGACTTCTATACATTTTTGGTAAATATAAATACGACTGTACAGTACAGACTGTGAAGACGATTTCGTCGATTTTTTTTCCTTCACGTTCCCCATTGAAACATAGGGCCTCAGGCTGGTGGCTTGAAGTTTCTGTAGCAGTGTTTATTTTACAGGATGGGGTTGCTAGCCTCATGCCCAACCTTTTCTCTTCACCAGCGTTATTTCTGGCTTAGCGAGGTAAAGGAGTGCGTTGGTGGCCGGGAATCGAACCCTGGACCATGTGCATGGTTGGCGAGCGTCCTAACTGCTATGCCACCGACGCATGTCGATAGTGAAATTTTTCTTCACTGAATTGTCTCTTATTTTCTTCATGACTTAAATAGTAACTATTTAAAAAAATACTGTTAACCTTTTCATTTGTATGTAAAACCAGTGTTCCTGTATGATTTTGAGACTTGGAGAGGGCGTCACATACCTCCAGTCATGTAGACAGAAACGATTAGCAACAAGAAACTCTGGTAACAAACCAATCAAGAAGCTATTGCCCAACAAATATATATAGAAAGAATGGAGATAGACTGGGCATACGCTGAAGAGACCGTTGAGTGACATCACGCGTCAGCCAAACCCTCGAGTGGAACTTGAATGGTGAACGACGATTTGTGCTTAGTCGAAGAGTGACACAGAGGAGATCATGTGAGGTGGAGATGGAAGCTTATGGGCGATCCTGGAGCCAGCTAAATGGAACTACAGAGAAGAGGATGAAATAGAAATATATTATTGAAGCCCTATGTTCAACTGGGAACCCATAATAATAATAAAATAATATTGTTGGTATGCTAACCTTTTTAAATTTTGCTGGCCTTTTGTATTTCTTAGATTACTCAATCATGAAGTTGTTCAGATAGGAAGCTTTACTTTATTCAGTGAGGGAAGAGGTTAAACTAAATAGAACATAAGGGTGTAGACGTTTTTCAAATGATAAAAAGGGTGAACAGAATCATTAGTGTGGAAATCAATTTCTAGCAGAGGTAAGCATTACACTGGCGAAAATTGCGAATTGACTGAATGTCTGATTGACAAGTACTGCTTGACATTTTGAAATTCTGTATCACTTACTATCCGTCTAGCGGATTCCTAGTTAGAATGTTTAAAGAATAAGGTTTATTCTTAACATCCTGTCTATTTTTTTTCAGAATTACCTGACTGAAACAGAAACATCCACAATTTAAAGATGTACATATATATATTTATTATCGACGCCATTTTATATTACTGTATATCTATCTGTCTTTCTATATGATGTGATACAAGAGATGTTCTTCTCAACAGCTTCCTTATCTGGCTACTACAGTTATATATACACAATAATATATATAGAATACTCCTTATTGATAAAATTGATACCATTAGTTAATCCTGAATTGGTAAGACCGATAGATTACAGTTCAGACAAAAATAAGAAAAAAACAACGATAACTTGTAAAAGGTTTGCTGGGAAGGTGAAATTATCAAGCCATTACAACCAAGTAATGATGTGGCCAAGGTAGGGGAAGCATCTGTATGAACGAACTTCTGGACACATGCGTTTAGGATCTTCAGGTGGATTCCACCGTCTTCAAGTATATGCAAACTTCAGATTGGTCGGAATATGGTAGATATCTTTAGAAGGCCTTGTTAACATCAACTTTATATTCAGTATCTAAAAGGTGAACTAAAACGGAGCTATGAATAGACCTTGTTTGTTGTTTGTTTAACCATTCAGGAGAATGTTCAGAAATCCGATGATGAACATGAAGCTGAAGCCATCGAAATCCACCCAAATGTACCCAAACTTTCATTCAGACGCTCTCCTTACTTTGGGCATCATTACTTGATTGTAATAGTCTTTAATATTCCCCTTCCGGTTAAGCCTTTTACGAGCTACCGTTATTTTAACTATCTTTAACTGTCACATACATTTTCTTCTGAATTTTTTCTGATATTTCGTTTAGTGTTGTATGCATTTTTATGCATATTTTCACTTACGTTCATGCTTTCGAACTGTAATTCTGTTTATCTTAACAACTTGATATCATTTAAAAATAAACATCGATGTTGTCAATCACGATTACCCTTTAGGTATTATGTATACATATAACTGTAGTAGGTAGATGAGGAAGTTATCAAAATCAATATTCTATTCTCACTCCTTCATTTTTGTCTTCTAAATGTCTAAATAGGAAGTTTTTCAATACAATGAGTATTTTGTTGGCTTGAAGCATCAGTGACAGTTATTTTTGGCATAGAAAATACTTAGTGTGCATTAGAGGCATAACTATGTTGATATTAGAGGGTTGGAGGTAATCGGCCACAGGAAGCCTTGCTTGACCTAGGTTTCGTGCTAGCTGGCACTCACCAGTCAGCAAGGCGTATCTGAAACCTTGAAGGAGCTCATGTCCCTTCATGAGATTCGAACCCGCGTCACCCAGTGCAGTGCTGCAGTCACAGACGTTACCACTGAGCTAGTTATTTGGGCTCACGATTGACCTCCTGTAGGACTGTATTTGATACTTTTGACTGGACACTAGTTAGTATCTAGTGTCATGTCTCTAGTCCTATCTTTGATGCAGACTGAATTCTATCAGTCAAGTTGGCAATGTGGCTACCATACTAGGTGGCTCGCCAATTTTCTCTTCCAAAGATTGCTTCACCATCACATCATCTCTGCTTCTCGCCTGATTTTATTTCATTTTATCGATGATTTCACTATCAACTTTTCAAAAAATTATAAACTTAGAAGTCAGTTGTCATCTCAGTTTAAATGTCATGCCTATTATTATTATTGTTCCCTTGGGTTCTTAGTGGAACATAGGGCTTCAACTGCACGTCTCCACTTGTTTCTGTCGTCTGCTGTACTTTCCACCTGCATCCATGTCAGTCCATACTGTTTCAGCTTCTCTTCACACGATCTCCTCCATGTCACCCTTCGACGTCCCACTCGCCGCTTCCCTTTAGGGTTCCACTCGAGCACTGGCCTGACGCGCGATGTCACCCAGCGGCCTCCTCTGCTCAGCGAGTGTCCAATCCATCTCCACTTTCTCCTGCATATTTGTTGAGCGATCGGTTCTTGTTTTGTTTGTTCCCGTAGTTCCTTTTTGGTGATTCTTTCCGGCCATCTGATCTTCAGTATAGAGCGAAGACAGTTGTTGGTAGAGGTATGCAACAGGCTGTTGGAAATATTCTTTGTGACCCGCCGCCAAGTTTCTGATCCGTATAGCAAAACTGACTTGACGTTTGTATTGAAAATCCGAATTTTGTTGTTGATGCTGAGTGACGAAGATTTCCAGA